GACCTCGGGTGATCCACCCACCTTGGCCTCCCAAAGTGATTGGACATCAGGCGTGAGCCATGGCGCACAGCCCCTTTCTTTTGTTAAGAGTAAATGGGCAGAACAGAATGTTGTTGGGTCTAGAAATTATACTCTATAATCATCAGTGGAATTGGAGAGAAGACGTAGGAAGAGACAGGCTAGCAGTCTTCAAATATCAGGCAATCATAGAGAGGAAGGACTGAATCAGCCTGGTTCTAGAGGGTGGAAGTGGGACTAGAAGGCAAACATTACAGAGAGGTGGTCTTCAGTTCAAGCCTAGACTACAACTGGTTCTGTGACATAACATATACGCTATTAGTAGAAGTACAGGATTTGAGCTTGGGCTGGCTGACTGACAGTGTTCCTATTGAGAAAATTACTGAATAGTCCTGGAGACTTGACTGCCTGATTTTCAAGGAATCTTCCAACTCTAAGAAGATAGTAGGAGACAATTAATTATCTACTGCTCTATTCAACATAGGGAATTTGCATATAATGGGGCATCTTTCTAATATTTGCCTATTTGTTAAATATTGGTTTCCTGGATTCTTATATTTAATGCTATAGAGAACAGTTTTTAAGAAGAAAACCCCACACTAACTAAAACATTTTGTAGACACTTTTTACTACAGTGGTAACCACAGACTCAGAATAAACAATTTGTTATAGTGAGTAGTATATCATCTGTTTTATGAAAAAACAGAAACAAAAGTTTTAAAAAATTAAAATAAAGGTTCCTAAAAAGTTACAAACTTTAACAAAGACAAGTGTTAAGGATTCTTTAGAATAATAGTTTTTAATATGGAGAAAACAAAAAGGAGCTGTAAGCCCTTTGTCTTAGTATCTAAGAATAGCACACTAGATGGTGCTATAAGGCTGTCAGAAAGAGTTTTACCAGGCTAGTGTGGCATTCTGATGGTAGTTAAGTGTTCTGGAAACTTTCCACATACTTTCAGCTCCTGAGAGCCATTCCAGGTTTATATAAAAGTAATGGGAATCTCAATTGGACAGGCTTTAGCCCTAAGATGACATTAACTTAAAACTAAACCACAGGCTTAACACATTTAACATAGTTTCACTATTTGATATTTCAATCTGATTCCACTGAAATAGAAATGTTAAAGTCATTAAAATGCCAATGTATTAATTTAAATGTATTGCTATTAATTTCACTTAGCTAGTCTTCCCATGAGCCTAGTTATATCCACCACTTAATGAATCTTTAAGTCAGTTTCAAGTGGCTTCCTGAAATTTTGAATTATCATTAAGCTGAACATACAAATCACTCTTTCATTTAGTATTGTGAATATATTAACACAAATACTTGAAACATTGTATTTGGAAATCACTCTATCAGTATATTATTTCTTATAAAAATAACATTTCATGATTTTTCCACATTACAATAAAAGCAGAAAAATTTTACTAAAGTGCAAAACAAAAATAAAGCTTTACTTTTATAATATTTCCATTTCACTTTCTTTTAAAAAGGTCAACAACAACAAAATGAATGGATAAAGATATAGCTTTTGCAACCTAAGACTCATTTGAGTTTTAAATTTTCAAAGACCTGAGATTTATTTGTGATTTTTTTTCCTCCTTATCTTTCCAGTTCTGCTTCTAGAATTTCCCCCCATGTATCTGCATCCATTGGGTACATGGTTTTTTCTGGTAGGCTAATGGGAGAACAAATGTTGCTGTATCTGCCACTTAGCCATTCGTGTTTCACTTTACTCTTCTGGTAATTCCTCAGCAGTATTACCTGAAAGAGGTAAATCACCATTAAAAAAGACTGTAGTAGGTGGTTGATTAGTGAATGTGTTTAAAGCAAGAGAAACAGATTGACAGGGCTGGAAAAAAGAGTAAGTATTTACATTGATACACACATATTTTAATAAATTTATGTGTCTGTGTACGTGTGTGCATGTATATGTGTATTTATACAGAGTGCGCCATACAGTTTACTGGGGGTTTGGGATAAGGTGAAGTGAAAAGAAGGAGCTAATTCCCTTCTGGTTAATATGGGAAAATTCTCTAATTTAGAATTTAAAAAATGCAGAAGGATAAATGAAAGATAGTGTGGAAAGAGTGTGGTTAGCAGGAAAAGGCTCAACTCATTTTCAAAAGTCAACACACTATGTTATTCTGCATACGCAATTCTGTCTCCTCCAAGCATAAGTTAGAACTGACTCAAACCTGCTATCATAACACCGTCAACAACACTGCAGATCGCAAAGATTAAACTTACCCTCCAGGAATAACCACTTTCTAGATCATCATCTATTTCTCTTCGGCACACAGCTCTTACAGTCATGCAGTGAGGTTTCCATAAAGAGTCACAGTTTCTTATGGTGTAATTCCAGCTCCTGCATGTCAATGAAGCCCTGCATAAACTCCGAATGTCCAGCTGACTGAAAATTTTAAAAGTGAGTTCTTGAGGCAGCAGTTCAACAAAGTTGTTTTCACTCTCGTTTTTTTCCTTCTCAGCATCCACAGAGTTCACTTCTGTGTGAGAAACTCTTGAATTACTGTTTCTCTTGGAGTTTTTATGCATAGCTTAATGTTTTAGTAAATTATCCTCATATGTAACCTAAAAGGCAAGATTTAAACATGCTCAGTCTCCAAAAAGGAGTAGAAATCCTACTTTGAGTCAGATGCTTTTTGGGTATAATTTAAGAACTCTTTCTTGACTTTTGCTTCTCAGTCTGTAAAATGGACCAATGCTGCCCCTTTCCTGAAAGTTCTTGCAAGGATTAACAGCGATAGTGTGTAAAACACCTAGTCTTCCTACATCTGAAATGCACCTGGGAGGCACCTCAACATATTAGCTTCACTCTTACCCAGGCTGGAGTGCAGCTGTGTCATCATAGCTCACTGCAGCCTCAAACTCCAGCCTCAAGAGATTCTCTTGACTCAGCATCCCCTCATTTTTTTTTAAACAAACAAACAAACACAAAACCAAAAACTTTTTTCTGGAGAAATGGTTTTTGCTATGTTGCCCAGGCTGGTCTCGAACTCTTGTCCTCAACCAATCCTTCTGCCTCAGCCTCCCAGAGTGCTAGGATGATGGGTAGCAGCCACCACACCCGGTACTTTCGTACCTTTGAAAATATGTATGAGTCAATCCTATTAAACTCCTGAATACTTGTTGTATATAGGAACTGATGCCTCATCATTAATTTGCAATTTGTGACTTAATCACAAACTAGATGGACTTCTAGTTGCATAAGAATTTTATTACTTGTATCTAATGGGTAGGTAGGTGCTTACATTTGGCACAAATACTATCTGAAATGGACAAGAAGATGAGATCTGGATTATGAAACAAAGTCTTAAATATTCAACTCAGTCATAAGAGTGGTGTTTTAAGAAATGGCCCCTTGAAGCTATCCTATATGCATAGTTAATTACGAGCTAAAGGTAACAGTCACTGAAGACATCAAGCAACAGTGAGTGACAACTATAAACAATGTTGAGAACTCAGCTAGGTATAGTATGTGACTATTTGAAGCCCAGATATAAAGCTCAGTTTCAGCTAATTTACCTAAGGTGAATTTACCTAAGGCTTCCCAAATTAGTTGAAAGCATGACTGGGTACATCACCACCCTTGAGTTACTTTTGTATATAAAGACAGCTGGTATTCACTTAAAATCAGTTTATTCCATTTTGCACTTCCTTTTATAATGGGGGTTGGATGTGCAAGAGGAGGGGTTTGAGATACAGCTAAATACTTCTTTTAACTCAGCTGAACACAAATCTCTTTTCTAGACGAGCTACTCAGCTATGTTTCTGGACTTCACAAGACCACGGTGGTTCCCATTCATGATCCAGATTAGCTGTGGTGGCTGGAACTGTAGTCTGTGTTCAACAGAGGTCTTCCTCTTGAGGGTTTGGGGAAGTAAGAAAGCAAACTGGTAAAAACGAGTGAGTCAAGAGCAAGTTTTTGCCATGCACCTTGGCCCCTCCCACCACCAATACAAACCAAAGCCAAACCACAAGGTTCTTGAAAAGAATCTCACATTAGGAAAACGTTACAGTGTATTTAAACGTTACGGTTTGTTTATCCACTTCTCCCAGGATCTTACAGGGAGAATAAAATGCCTCTCCTTGTGGAATTCCTGCAACGGGAATGAAGGTTTTTGAATTTTACAGCAGGGGATGCCTTGGCGAGGTTCTAAAATCCCACTAGGAATCTTTCTTCTACGTCCAGGTTCGCCTGGATGCCTGGAAACGACCCCTCTTCTGCCCTTTCTCCTTTATGAATCGAGCTTTGCTGAATTCTCTCTCAAGTGAGGTAAAAGCTCGTCTCCCTTTCAACTATCACTCGGAGGGATAGATCGGCGGCAGCGCAGAAGGAGGGGCGGGGAGCCCCACTCCACCCACATCCCGCGGGTCAGGGCTAATCACCCCACGTCCCATCTGAGCCACCCTCCTTGTGTCCTGCGCGGGTTGCAGCTGCTGGAAGCCAAGAACACGGAGCACTGACAAGTGACAACAACAACCGTCAGCGCTGTCACTGCGGCTCCAGGCCGCGGAGGGAAGGCTGAGCTTGCGTCAGGGCCGCGTCCCCGGGAGCGTAGACATCTAAACCAACGGGAATGGAAGATCCTCCTACCTACTGGGCCACGATGGCTTCTCCTCCCGCGATTTAAATCCTCCGGAATTCGAATCTTTCCCCATAGCTCTTCTCTTCCCGCCCACCTAAGCCCCACCCTGCTGACTCGGAACTCGCGCAGGCGCCGAGAGGGGCGCGCAGTGCCTTTGGGGATTGGTAGTTTTTTCCAGGGCGTCTTAGCTCGGGAAAGGAAGTGAAGAAAGTCGCTAGGACTACAAGGCCCGGCGTCCTCTAAGAAGGGAGGGAGGTGAAAAGGGTGGTGAGGAATAAGCCGGGGTTTTTAAACAATAATTTTGAGGCGGCGTGACTGGGGAATCCCCGATTGCGTCATCAGTAGGCGTGGAGGGACGGGACTCGGGAAACTGCGCTGGGGCTGGGCTCTGACAGGACCGGCGCAGGCGCGGGGAGCCTTTGCGGCCCTCCCCCGCTGTTTTTCCCAAGTCCTGGGCTTTCCCCGCGGAAACAGCGGAGGGGCCAGTCTCCTGGCGAAGGGGCCTAATCCTTGCCCGCCATGCCCGCGGGCTTCGAGCTGCAGCCGCGGGACGGCGGTCCCCGGGTGGCCCTGGCGCCCGGGGAGACTGTGATCGGCCGCGGGCCGCTGCTGGGAGTAAGTGTGGGCGGGGGCTCGGCAGACCCCGAGAGCCGTGGAGGTCCACTCCGGCTCCTGAAGACCGGCCCTAGTCCTAGCCCTATTCCCCACCGCGCTGGTCCGCCGGTCTGGATTTTATAAGTTTGGGGCCCCAAGTTTTTCAGTTACCTTTAAGCAATTCACAAACATTTCTTTATGTTGCTTTAAAAACACTGTGTTACCATTATTATTTTTTCCAGGGGTTGGCAAACTAGAGTCTGGGGGCCAAATCCAGCCTATGTTTGTATGGCCCCGTGAACTAAGAATGATTCTTAAATTCTAAAATGTAAAATGTAAACAAAAAACCTACCAATTTTTCCAGGAGAATATTGCTGCAAGGGTTGAGGGTATTGTGGCTTGTCCTTTAAGGCCTAAAATATTTACGGTAGTCTCTGGCCCTTTACAGAAAAGTTTGCCAAACCGTGATATTATTTCTTCTAGGCTAATTTCTTTTAAGCTTTGGTCTCCTTTGCAGAGCTGTGTGGACCTTATTTATTTATTTGTATTATTTATTATTTCCAGTACAATGAATAGCTTATCCTTAATAAGGAATGTGTATAGCGTTCGAGTCATTGGTCTAAGGAGAGATTACCTATACCAACATCTTTAACTGTCAGGTATTTTTATTATCCTCATTGTTCAGATGAGAAAATTGAGCCATACATACGTTATTTAAAGTCCATGCATAAGCTTTTGGACACATGATGCCACAAAACTAAATATTCTCTACCTTCTTTGGGAGGTTTAGGAATGAGAACATTTGCATGTTGCATTCCAGAATTCTATAGAGCTCTTCTTAAGTACGTCTAGTTTTAAATTTTTTTCTTTAATATTCAACATTTCTTGTTTAGTGCTCACTGTGTAGAACATTTTGCAGATTCTAGCACTGTGATGAATGGAACATGGGGCCCTGCCCTCTAGGAGTTTTCTCTTGGGACTGGGGAGACACCTGTGTCAGTGAGCTAACACCAAGGAGTAAGGAGTGTTTACTGTTATCCTGGTTAACTTCCAGAGTCTAAATGGAACCTTTGGTACTTGCCTTAGGTCCCTTCTGGGAGCAGGGAAAGGAGTGGTAGTTTAAGATTGTGTTATGGAAATTGGTCCTAAAGGGGTGTGTGTGTGTGTGTGTGTTGTGTGTTGTGTCCATACACATGTGCATGTAGTACGGTTATTGAGAAAGTAGATATTCAATTGCTGTTCTTTTTTTTTTAACTGGACAAGTGATTATTTAAATGTTTAACATCATTTCAATTTTTTTTTCGTCGTTTATTAGCCGTACAAACACTGGAAGGAACTGTCTGGAGGCTTTATTTTTCTGTTTTTCTTTTAAATTCGTAGGTTAGAAACTTAGAGTATGTGTTTCGTCTAGTAATCATATGTCTGGTGACTAATGAGTTTTGACTTGCTTAAGAAATTGTCACCAGTAGGTACACTGGGTCTGGTTAAGATGGATGAATTTGGAGGCTGGAGCTTTATTTTTCTGTTTTTCTTTTAAATTGTTTTTCTTTTAAATTCGTAGGTTAGAAACTTAGAGTATGTGTTTCATCTAGTAATCATATGTCTGGTGACTAATGAGTTTTGACTTGCTTAAGAAATTGTCACCAGTAGAGTACCTGGGTCTGGTTAAAAGATGGATGAATTTTAGGGCCGTGTTTTAGCAACTTGGCAACAGATTGCATACCCTTTCATTATTTGTAGCTTGTTCTTTGTGTTGTCGACTTGCTAATGTGAGATGAGCCTATTTGGCATCTGTTTTTTAAAATGATAGGGAGTGAAAGCTGGGCAATTATCTGGTCAAGATCTTGCTTTTCCTTTTAAAATAACATTCAGGGATGAGATTCTGTTGCCAAGGTTGGCAGGTATCGGAAGTGGTTATGAATGACATCCTAAGTGTGTTAAAGGAAAAATTTGGAGAACAAACAAATCACCTTGTAGTTTTTTCGATTTTGGAGCTGGCAGATGCACTCGATTCTTCTCCGCAGTGGTTAAAACACAACATAAGGGCTCCTGTTTCCAACAACAGGAATTCCAGTGAGACTTATTTTTGTATTGTGAGAGAGCGAAGACTGAGTTCTAAGTGGAAAACTCAGTAAGTTCATTGTAAATTGGTATACATCGGAAACGATTAATATAAATAAGGATGATTTTGAACTTTCTTAATTGGGCACGTTTTTCTGAGACAAGCTTCACAAACCTTGATGGCCACACAAACATAAAAGTTTATAATCCCTGTGTAAAATAGTCTTGGTAGTAAAACAGTTTGACAATGAGAATATTTTTATATTTTAACGGTGGTAGGAAAACACAGAGAAATCTGTCACAAACAAAGGATAATGAAATTTAATCTTTCTTGTGCCCTTTGCTTTCACGTGAGTCATCAGAGAACCCCAGCTCTTTGTTTACTAGATTTTGATTCTGCCCCATGATTGGCATCAGTTAGATGGTTTTACAGCAGGATTTATCTTCAGAGAACTTAAGTTAAAACAGCCAATCCAAAAGATTACATATTGTGTGATTCTATTTATATAACATTATTGAAATTGCAGATTGCAAAATTTCAAAAATGGAGAACAGATTAGTGGTTGCCAAAGGCTAAAAAATTAGGCAGGAGGGCAGAAGGGAATGGATATGGCTATAAAATAGCAACATGAGGGATATTTGTGGTGACAGAAATGTGCTTTGTCTGGACTGTGTCAGTATCAATATCTTAGGTTGATGTATTGTACTGTAGTTTTGTAAGATGTTACCATTGGGGGAAACTGGATAAATGGTACAAGAGATATTTCTATATTATATCTTTCAACTACATGTGAATCTACCATTATCTTAAGAAATTTTATTTTAAAGGGTTTTATAGAACAACATGTCAAGCACTGTTAGGCCAAAGTATTTGCTTTATGATTTTTAATTCAAGCTGTTACACTCTTAAATGAAATCTACTATTTTTGATTTCAGATTTTTCTTCTTTTGTTTTGACAGCAGGGATTATATGACACATTTCCTTATGATCGATTTCCCTTCTAGGGATATCTAGTGAGACTTTCTCAATGTAGATGTAATTAAGTTGACTGCTTTGATTAAAAAGAGAAGAGTCCCCAGTTGGGGGAACAGGGAAGGTCATAGGCTTCAGTATAGACTCTTCAGGTGGCATCAGTTCACCACTTCTAAGAATGTTGTAAATGTTCTACAAAGTTTACACAAAGTAACCATCCCCTGACCTGGCAGCTCTGTACTTGAACTGCGTGTTGCAGAATCCTCCTGGCTGTCTTGGAATGCTGTTCCTACCCGCTCCAACGTAGGTTTCTTCCCTAACACTTCCTTTATTTCTAGATTTGCCCTTCCCTCATTTTATTACTTAGCCTACAACCAGTACCTAGCACATAGTAGGCCTTCAACACATGATTTCTTCTTTCTTCCATTTCTGCATCTCAGCCTCTCATTCACTCTACCCTCAGAAAGAGCCTATTTGTGACTTAGATATGAAAAAGGGTTATCATTGAGTTTTGAAGTGAATTTAAATATAGTAAAGATGCAGTCCTACCAACTGCTAGATCTTAAGGAGTAACATTCACAATGAATTAAGTTTTAACATTTTTCCTATTTTGTTGATGGATAATTCGCTAAATTCAGGAAATAGTTGATAAATAAGTACTATGGTTGGATGGGAGGGAGTATAGGAGAAATAAAGATGAATGAGAAACAAGTCCTTGCTCTCAAGAAACTTACAGTTTTGTAGGTTTGAGAGACAAATAAACAAGTATTAATAACTAAACAAGGTTACAGCCTCACACGGGGACTGGAGCCAGGCTGACACTTGGAGTGAGCAAAGTGGGAGGGAAGAAGAAACAACATAGGGACAGTGATAAATGACAACAGTTCTGCCTCAGTGTTGGGAAGGCCACAAGGAGAGGGTCTCTGTGCAATCCCTGCTACTTTCCCCTATTCCTACTTGATAACAGTGTCATATTGTTTTTTTAAGAATAGTAAGAAATTTGAATTTTTAGATATAATCCTTGATTTTTAAAAGGTCACATTTTATTAAAAGTTTTGTTTAAATACTATGAGTCTGTTGATGAAGAGTTAAATTCTATAAAATATTTCCAGAGATTTATTCTGAGCCAAATATGAGTGACCATGGCCCATGACACAGCCCTCAGGAGGTCCTGAGAACATGTTCCCAAGGTGGTCAGGGTACAGCTTGGTTTTTATATATTTTAGGGAGGCATGAGCCATCAATCAAATACATTTAAGAAATACATTGGTTTGGTTCAGAAAGGCGGGCCAACCCAAAGCAGGGGCTTCCAGGCTATAGGTAAATTTAAACATTTTCTGGTTGACAATTGGTTGAGTTTATCTGAAGACCTGAGATCAAAGGAAATGTGCAGGTTAAGGTAAAGGCTTATGGAGACCAAGTTTTATTGTGCAAAGCTCTCAGATCGCAGACTTTAGAGATAGCAGGTTGCAAAATGTTTCTTATCAGACAGGAAAGGGTTCCTGGCTCTTAATTGATTATCTCCTGGATCTGGAAAGGAAGGAAGGGAAACAAGGGGGAAAAGGGATTCCCTGTAGAATGTGGATTTTTCCCACAAGAGACTTTGCAGGGCAATTCCAAGGTATGGCAAAGAAATATATTTTAGGGTAAAACATTTTGATTTTCTTCCTTGTTATGCCTGAGTTAGACTGGAAAGTAAGTCACGTTATACAGGGTTAAATAAAACTCATCTGATGATAATCTATAGTTTGTAGGGCATGACTTCCCAGACCCCTTAGAAAGGAATTTAGGCAAGATTTAAAAAAAAAAAAATCAGAGCTTAGTCCTCAAGCTAGACAGAATGATGTCACAGGGTACAGAGAAGTATAAGAAGGAACCTGAAGTTAAGAGGTGGGATCAGGGAAAGAAAGCTTCATGAACTTGGTTGCATGTTGAGTTTGACTGTGGTGTGTTGGGACAGTTAGAATTTTGGTAGGTGAAGAGTGGG